GATGGTGATGGTGATGGTGATGAGGGAGGAGGAGGAGGAGGAGGAGGAGGAGGAGGAGGGGAAGGAGGAGGAGGAGGGAGGGAGGAGAGGAGGAGGAGAGGAGGAGGAGAGGAGGAGGAGGAGGAGTGGAGTGGAGTGGAGTGGAGTGGACTCCGCTGCGCAGCAGGTTCGAATCTTAGGAAGGCCTGGGCATACGAGCATTCGAGCGCCGAGCTTGCTCAGCTCGGCTCAGAACTTTGGGATGTAACCCCCGAGCAATTGTGTCAAGGTACTCTTGCCCCGTGGCGGACTTCCTCTTACTACATGGGCCTTTAAGAGATCGCAGAGCCTTATCCGCGATGCCCCCACACTCAGTGCAAAACCAAATCTGAAGGGTCGGGTGAACATTCAGGGTATGCGTAGTGTGGGCCCAACCCCCCGCGATATGGACTCGCGGCCCCTTTAACGGCGAAAACAGGACCCCATCGACATTGTACAGCTTAGGACATTCTGATTCGACGAATTCCCGAGCGGTGGCGAGGGTAGCAGAACCGAAACAAGAGAGGCAACGTCGGCCGCAGTCGGCCAGACGGTGCCTGGACATGAGGGCAGCAACGGTGGCGGCCGCGGGAGGCGGAGGAGGAGGAGGGGCAGGAGGAGGCGGGACCTCAGAGGGGCTCCCAGGGCCTCGGGCGGCGTCCCTTTCCCTTCTCTCGGCCTCCTGGCTGGCCGCAATGCTGTCAAGCGTGGCTCGGAGGAGCCTCATGCGGACGAGGTACGCCCTCCGCTCGGCCAGCAGGATGGGCTGGCGGACCTCGGCGGGCAGCCTGGCTCTGGCCGCTGCACAGCCCGCGAACTCGTCGGCGAGCAGGTTGCCTATGACGAGGTACCTGTTCACCCTCTGGGCGGCAACGTCCTGGGCCGTGCTGTGGGACGGCGTCCAGAGCACCGTCACCTCAGCGTGGCGGCGTGAGCTCATCAGGTCCCCGATGAGCTTCCATAGGTCGGCGTCCTCACCTGCTGGGTTCGTGTAGGCTTGCGAGTACCAGCCCGCCGCCACATATTCACAGTCCGTCACGTAGGTGAGGAACCTGGTAGTGCACCAGAGGGCGAGGTACAGGGAGTAGAGCTCTCCCCTCGCCACCACTTGGCGTGGGCCACCCAGCTGGCCGAAGACTGCACCGTGTAGGTTGATCTCGGGCAATAGGCTGGCAACGCATACTATGGCGACTCCAATCCCCATGAAATCACTGATGCTCGCATCTGGTCCTCCACTGGCGTCCCCGAAGATCTCGACTGGTGACTCGGCGCTCCCCGCCCCAAAGATCCCTTCGGACAGCTCGTTGATGCCCGTGAACTCAAGGACCGTGTCCTTCGGTGGGGGCGGGGTCTGGGCCCACTGGGTCGGCAGCAACCCGCGTAGCCAGAAGCACTCGGTGGCGTCCGTCTGGGCCATCGCGGCTGAAACCAAAGACTCTGAGCGAGTATAGGGCGCGGCCTGTACGTTCTTGCTGCACTGCCAGAATCTGTGCTTGGCCGTCTCTGGTGCGTCTCGGCAGCGGTCACACATGTTGCTGCCCTTATAGCCCTTCAATTCGTCATATCGCCTCTGTCGCGTCCAGTATCCACCTGTGGCAATATTGATCAGCAACTCGGTGAGACGCACACCGTGTGGGAGTTGCCCAACTTGTTTGATCAACAGCCGAAATGACCGATTGTCAACTCCATGCTCGACTCCACCTCCGCAGTAGTGCTTGGCTGCCGCGGTCCATACCACCTGAGCCGCCGACTGACGTACATCCTTCAACAGCTCACGGTGTGTGTCGAGAAACTTATTGCCCGTGTATATGGCGTCTGGAAATTGCCATTCCTCCGACCCCGTGGGCGTAGTGTACGACCACGTGTCCACATCTTCAGGGTTCCACTTGATGCGGAGAAGGGTGAGGATTACTACCGACACTGGGCCACGAACAGCACGCACCTGATGTTGAGGATCCAGCTGGGAAAGGTGGTCTCGGACATGATGCCATACTTGTCGTACTCGCTGGCGCAGACCTGGTTGTTGCTGCCAGACGCTGAGCCACATGTCCACGGTCTTGGCTGGCATCGCCACGGCAGGGTCCCCTCCTGGCGCTCTCAGGTCCAGGAGGGTAGTGAGGCATCGGCCTCTAGTGGCAGCAGCACAGATCTGGCCGAGTCGGCGGCGATGGGTTGTCAGCTGGTGGCCGAACATCCCGTGCACCTCGAAGCCGTAGGAGCCCGCAGGTTGGCAGCCGTTGCGTTCAAGCCGCGTCGTAATCCCGTGCCGCCGAGTAGCTCGACTGAATCTCTTCACCTTCTCGTTCATCGCTCCGTGCTTGATCTGTCTCTGCATCCTGGTGGCACGTCCCTGCTTGCCGCAGCTGAAGTCCACCCCCAGGTACGGCGCCTGCGCCAGGGCCCTGACTGGGAAACCTTTGAGCCTGGCGGCCCTGGCTACAGCACGGGCGTCGTCGGGATTCGTGCACATGACCACTGACTTCTTGGCCAACTTGAGGCCTGCCTTGGCAAGCTCTTGGCCCGCCTTCACAACTCC